CTCCACATGGGATCCGAACCCTCGGTGGGAGCGCCGCCGCACTCCCAAGCGGCGCACTCTCCAGTGTGCCACCGGGCTGGCCCGACCTTCTGTTTCTGATGCCAGGCACTGTGGATTATTTTGTCATATCTCATCTGTCTAAATCTCCCTTTTCTTCTTCTCTCTCTGGTTTGTATGGCTTTTAGGTACCTACTACATATGGATGGCTCCAGATCTCCATCTCCAGCCCAGAGCTCTTTCCTAAGCATCAGACCCACATCTCTGTCTACTGGGCTCTCCAGTTGGATGTCTCACAAGCTCTTCATCCTGGCCTCTACAACCCTGCAGGATTTGGCTCCCGTGTACCGTGCCAGCCTTTTTCTACCTGTAATTCTACGCTGTAGCAATACTTCACTTCTCTTAGTTCCTGGAGGATACCATCCTTTCTTTCCTCTTTGAACTATTGAGCGTGCTGTTTCCTTTGCTTGAAATAGTGTTCCTTCCACCACTCTTTTTCTGGCTCTTATTTATTCTTCAGCAGCTTGTACCTCACTTATGAGAGCACTTCTTGCTGCCAACATCCCAAGTTTGGGTTGTACACCCACAACCACAAGTCTTTTGTACATCCACAGCACCATATATTTTCTATTATGTATTCTTAGCATTTCTAACACTATTATCATTGTCTGTTCATCTCTCATGAGACTGTGAGATCAATCAGTATGTCATTATTTCTTTTCTGGCCCTAACTCAGTCTACTTTCTTGAATGTTTGTATCTCATTTGAGTTCATTGTAACCTCAGAGTTTGCCCTAGAGGGATGCCTTTTATAGCAAACTTCCTGGCGCCCAGTCTGTGCCACTCCTGTTCCTCCTAGACACATCTGCCAAATCAGGATATCTGTGGTGCTGTGTAGCTAACGTCACTTCCCAGTCAGGAGGCCCCCAGTACTGTGAAATTCATTGTTTTTCCCCAATCTTATCCTCCACAAGATAAAATCAACAGACACTCGGCATTAAGAGTGTTCCTTTTCTCCGATTCTCTCTTTTAAAGGTGTCCAACTCTTAATGACCAAGTTGAATAACGTGACAATTTTGAGTTCTCACTCATCCTTCCTTGCCAAGCCCAAGTGTTGTCAGTTCAGTGTTAGGAAGAGAGCACTAGGGGAGGGAGTAAACTCCATGTGCTTTTGGACAGACTGTTGCCCTCATACTCACCTCACATGTGGTGCTCAGATTTATTTCCTCCTCTTCTTTTCCGCTGCTGGTTCTTCAGTGTAGACCCACTTAGCTCTTTTTCAACTCTTGTCATCATATCTAACTGACCCCAACAACCCTTCTTTCTTCTGGCTATCGTTTGTGAAGATCAGATAATATACGTAAAAGTGCTTTCTACTGTAAACATGCAAGTGCCAGTCATGTCCTTAAACATGCAAGGAATTGCGAAGAATCTTTGCCTAAAGCTCCTCATGGTTTCTAACTGTGCTACTTTCTGTCCTGGACCACCTCAATCCAGGGCTTCCTCCCCTAGTCTGGGGTATGTGCCTTCTCTGTATTTGCACTCAGCGTATTTACTATAATGTATTGTTTATGAATTTGTCCCTCTCCTGAACTTCTTGGAGGCAGGAATCATGTTTTATTCATCTCTATGTGTACTCTTCTTACTCCTCCCACCCCCAGCCCAACACAGTGCCTGGTGCCTAAGAGAGGAGCAGCCTGTATCAACCATGTGTGTTCGCCAAATAGCTCTGATACTGCTCTTCTTTCCACTGGAGTTGTCCTTCCCTATTGTCTCCACCTGTTGAATCCTTCCTAGCTAGCTGATATCCTCTAATACCTTTAATACCTTGCTACTTAAAGTTCAGTCTTGGGACCAGCAACATTGGCATCTCCTGTGAGCTGTTAGTTGCAGGTTAAAAACTTCGGAAAAGAGTTGATTATGTTTTTATTTCTGACGCAGGTACTTGCAACTGGGCTCAGTGGTCTCTACTCTTCCCTGCCTACAAAGCTAGAAGAGAAGGGCGAGGAATGGCACTGCCTTCTGAAGGACGACTGGCTTCTACTCCCTTCTCTTGTCCAGTTCATGAACTCCCTAGAGTTTTGCAATGCAGTCATCCAGGTAACAGCACAATAAAGGATCCCTTTGCTGTGGTGACATTCAGAGCACATGCATTGCAAAGGATTAGTTTATAAATATGCACTCTTTTTATTTTGATAAATGTTTAGGAATATTGATGCTTTACTTTAAGCCCATTGAATGTCCTTGAACAAGTGAGAATGTTTGTAGGTTTCTGGAAAGTTTTAATTGAGAAAAAAATGAGTAGATTTTCTTTATAAAAAGTGTTAATTCTGTTTTGATTATCCACTTAACCATCAAAAATAAGTTCGATGCCTGACTCATTAAATAGTTATTTTTAGGTTTCTAAGTATTCCAAATTATACCACTTTTACTTCAAGGTCTTCTTGGGAGTCTACAAAAGAAAACACTTTATTTTGCTTAATGGTGCATACTACATAAAGAATATTGTTATCCCAATTGAATTTAGAAGTTAAACATCTTCTTAGCAACACAAATTAAATTTACTTTGAAATTGGCCTGTTTGGGGGAAAAAAACCACTGAACTCTTATATATTTGGCTTCTTGATTAGATTTTTACCTTTAGATTTTTTGTTACTGTTTTCAATAAAAAACAGATTTCATATACATTTAAGGATGGTAATAGGTTTTCATCAAAAATGTTTTACTTCTATACAGCATAAATATTACCTTAATAATTGACTTACTAAGAAATCAAGTTTTCTTTGTGGTGATTGTAGGGTGAAAAATGTTAGTTATAATCTGTTTATCTACCAAATAAAGAAATAGCTTTTGGAAGAAAATGCAAGTAAATTACTTTAGTTCCTATCTCATTTTTATTGCTAAGTCAATGGAAGTTTTATTTATGTATAAGATAAATGGATTATATTTTAAGTTATTTTTTACTTTAATATTGTGGTCTATCAACATTTTCTTGCAGAAGTGTGTGGAAATAAAAAAGATGGAACTACTATTAGTTCCTCCCCAAACGTACACACAGAGAAGATAGATTATCAGTAATTTAAAGATCTCGCCTTACTTCCCTAGAAATTGCTTTTCACTTTATTGTTTGACTTTATTCTTTTTTTTTTTAAAGAAAGAGAAGTAAAGCTAAAGGCCATGATTAAGAACAGAGAAATTATATATTTCATATTATATTTTGAAATTGAAACCATGTACTTTTAAGGCTTTTTTTTTGGGGGGGGGGAAACTACTGAAAATAGTCACTTACAAAAGATATTAGAAAAGGGTTATTCAGGGGCTGGCCAGGTGGCACACTTGGTAGAGTGTGGCGCCTGGGAGCATGGCGGTGCTCCCGCCGAGGGTTCGGATCCCATATAGAGACTGATCCGCTCACTGGTTGAGCACGGTGCGGGCGTGACACCGAGGGTTGCGATCCCGTTGCCGGTCGTGGTACGGGCATGACACCAAGGGTTGCGATCCCGTTACCGGTCAGTAAAAAAGACAAAAAGGAAAAAAAGAATTAATTGAGAAAAGGGTTATTCATGCTAAATATATTTTGAAAGTCAAATATAGGAAGTATCATACCTCTGATAGTTTTCTGCTTTTGAACATTATTTTTTATGAAAAGATTTTCCATATGCCTTCTTCTACTGTATAATGACTATCAGAAAATGCATTTTCAAAATGAGAAAATTCTTTCTGCTAGAAAAATATATTTAATTGTCCATTTTGACAGTTATACTATTTTTTTTTAATTAGTCACATGTTGAGGTGGAACCTAGAGGAAGTTAGGGGGCAAAAATTATACTTTCCAGGTTGTTAATTTTAATTTATGCATCTGTGTACATATTGAGTTTATTTTTATTTTATTTTTTTTTCAAACAGATACTTTAAACTTACCAATTTTTTTTATTTGAGAGTCCAGCTTCTGGTAGTTTTAGCCAAGCTGTTTATACTAGTATAAACTATTTGAAACAGTTACATGGCAGTGTGAGGTCCGAGTTATCCTTTAACCACAGAATAAATGGCCAAAATTTGGATTTCCTTTTTTTTTTTTTTTTTTTTCCCTTTTTTTTTGTCTTTTTTCGTGACCGGCAATGGATCGCAACCCTCAGTGTTGCTCCTGTACCGGACCGGGACCGGCAACGGGATCGCAACCCTCGGCGTTGTGCTCGCACCTCGCTGAGCCAGTGAGTGGCCGGTCTGTATGTGGGATCCGAACCCTCGGCGGGAGCGCCGCCGCGCTCCCAAGCGACACACTGTAGCAGTGCGCCACTGGGCCGGCCCCTGGATTTCCTTTTTGAATCCAGGATGTACACAGAAATGTTTGATTTTAGGAAGACATAAATATGGAACTCTTTGTCTTTTTCATGACTACCGATTTCTCTTGTAGGTAGCTCACCCCTTGATCCGCAGTCAGCTTGTCAATTACATTTACAATGGATTCTTGGTACCAGTCTTGGCTCCTGCTCTCCATAAGGTCAGTGACTGGCTAAAGTCATCTTATGTCTCTTTATAGTACAACTGATGGAAACTGAGGAAGGTAAACAGTGTCATTGCCTTGATGGTGACTTTAACCTTATTTTTCTTCTCATTCCATCCTTATTTCTTAGCAATATCAAAAACAGGTCTTAACAACAGCAGCTTATGTCTGAGTGGACCCATTTGGTATCATAGAATATAGCATTGTGAATGTCAAGTAACGCAGTCAGTAGTCTAAACGAGAATTGGCAAATAGACTCTGACTCTTGTGCCTGCTTCAGTTCATGGGTGGTGGCTACTTGGAATTCTCTGTTAAGCTGTCCACAAGAAGGCCAAGTCTGTCACAGAAAATGCAGGTTGTGCTGTGGGCATGGAGAGGGACAGTGGTAGCACAAGTGTCATGGACTTGCCATCTCCTTAATAGAACGTAATTTTTTATCATAACAATTTTGTGACAGCAAAAACTAAAATGAAGCCAAGTTAAGGTCCCATCAAGGCCTGGCTGTCTCATTAGTACCACTCAGTATTCCTTATGACTCTCTCGTTTTGTGTAATAAATCAACTGGTATGTTTTCCATTGTGAGCTGTCAGGAGACACCCATGGACCTAGAATTCTAATTTTAATGAATTTTTTCTTCACTAAGTAAAGAGACTTATATGGTATTCAGTTCAGAGGATCTTTGTCAAGTTTTCAGAATCACCCCCTCAGGGAGGGAGAAAAGCAAGATGCAGCTTATCATATGTTGTTTTGATGGAATGCCTACTTTCTACATCCCAAAGTCCCATTTTCATGGGCTCTTGTTTTATGGGATCTGAGAACACTTGATTATGACAACTTTGAAGCCTAGCTGTACGTGCTGATTGGCTTTCTGGTTTAGAGCAGCAGATCTTGATGGAAGATGTTCTCTTACCATGCAGTGCCTTTTGAGTATGGTCACCATATTTTCCAGAACAAACAGGGTACTTGGTCTGACTATGATTTTTGTGTTACTTCTAGGTTTAAGAGGCTATCTTGGATGTGGTTTAAACATCAAAATACTGATATTTCCAGGTTATTTTAATGGTTTATGAACACAAAGGGACCAAACCGGTGAAATTAGATCAGTCTTGGAAAATATGGGGCATATCTTTGGAAAATACAAACCTTGTATTTGTTTCTAGATTGTCCTTCTGTTAGTATTTTACCATTTTGAGGATGTGGGGCAGGTATCTTTTATAGAAGTTCTCCAAGCTGCTGCATGGAGGAATTTTCGTCTTCAGAGGAATACAGTAGTGCCACTGAAATTCCCTGGCAGTAATTATCCATACACTCTCTCACACATTTACACTTTCTTCCTCATTTATCCCCATCCTTTTCTTCATTGACCTGTTGACGTAAAGTGATTTCCTGTCATGATTGTGATAATTATAATTACCGTTTGTTCAAGTTATTTTATGTTATTATAACTAGCATACTTTAATGTTACAAATATTAATGGTAAATCTTTATCCATAACTGAGGATGAGCTCCACCTCTGAGAGCTGTTAGGAGGATCTTACTGGTCACTCTGCCCTTCTGCTTCATAGCACAGTGGAGTTAAGTCATTAAATGTTTACTGTCTGTCTCCACATTGGTATGCATGCTTTTTGGGGGTGGGGTTCACGTGTGTTTTGTTCACTGGGGTATCCCTAGTACTGAGCAAAGTACCTTCGACTTAGGAGGTTGAGTAAACAACACACAAATGGAACATCTGTTAAAGTGCCAACAGAATGCTTGCAGACAGTGGTTCGTAAGAGAATAATAGCTAACAGTTGATATAGCACTTTATACAGTACCTAATATTATGTCCAGTTATGCCCATAGTTAAATATGAGATTTATAAAACCAAGAAGTTAATACATGCTTACTGTAAAAAAAAAAAAAGAATCAGTATTGAATATATAAAACGAAAAGTAAACGTTACTATACTAGATTTGAATTTCCAACCCCTAATTCAGATTCCTTAACTTTTATCCATTGCAGACAATTTCTCCCAGGGCTGTTTCGTAACTAGAGAGAACAAAGATTGATTTCTTTCCTTCTTAATTGATTTTTCTCCCTGTTCTCCATCTTTTTTGTTGGGTTATTTGTATTTTTATCATTTAGAATTAGAAGGGTTAGGGAGGGGGTGGGGGCAGGGGCAGGTGCACAGCCTCTCCATGACCCTCTGCTCCCTAAGTGGTTGATGAAGGAAGGAGCCCTTTCATGAGTGGCAGGACAGGGCTGAGAGGCAGAAGAGCAGAGAAATCCAGAATTGAGTGTTTCTTGACGAGTTCCCGATGGAGAAGTTGTATCATATTTCCTGTGTCCTCTCCTCTGATGTGGGAAGGGATGCCTAGAAGTCTGGGCTCAGGTCTGCAATAGAGGCCCCTATTCATATTTTTCATATTCCGTGTCCACTGCCTTCACAGATGAGCCTTATTTAGTATCATAAATAAATTTCCTTTGTGTACTACATCAGCCCCAAATTTATGCATAACATTTTAGTTACCTGTCATCGGTGTAGGCGGTTTACAGAGATGAATTTATTCTGTCTCATAAATAATATAAATAAATTCATACTTAAAAATTTTCCCACATCACAGTCAGTACTCATATACAATATTTCCACAGTGTTTCTTAACCAGAGATGAAGTCATTACAGAGAGTTGTGGATGCTGAAAGGTGGGCAGTGGGAGTGCCTGACAAGGGGAGATTGTCTCTACTTTTCCTCTCCCCACGCTGTGTATGTATAATACAGTATTGCCCTGCAGCTTGTCCTGTTACATGCTTTCTTCATCCAGCCCTGTGCAATGGCCATTTATTCTTTTATGTTAGTACAAAGGAATATCTGATTTTTTTTTTTTTTTACAGGGCTGCCTAGTTTTCTGTAGTGTGGTCCATAATTCCTTATCTATAACTTGAACTTCAAAAAGCTCTGAAAACTTAATGTTTTCTTATAATTCATTTAGTGTACAGCTAACCTTTGCTAAACTCATTTAGTGTCAAACCCTACCTAATTTGTTTCGAGGTAGGGTTTTAATCCACTTATGTTAATGTTTGTATGTTTTGTGGAAGAGATATTAATATATTTGATTATACGGTGCTGCCCAGACTCCCAGGGATGTTATGTCTAATATGGCAGGTATAAATATTACTTAACATTTTGAATTCCAGAATACACATGGTCTCCAGGGTTTTGGATAAAGGATTGGAAACCTATTTTGGACATTTGGGAAAGGATACCTTTTTACAGATAGGTTAAAATCATACTCTGTCAAAATCATATTAAAGAAAATGATACCATATTAATATAAATCATTTAGGAATTAGATCCAGCCATAGATATGTATGTATATCACTTTATACAAAACTGGTTATTTATGACTTCAGAGTAATGGGACAGCCCTTATCCAACAAAAGCTAGTTCTGTTGTCTCTGTTTATTTTGTCAAGGCTAAATTTTCAAGGCTGAATATTCATTGGTATAGTTGTATTAGTTTGGGTTCTCTGAGAAGCAGTCATCAAGACAGGATTAAATATGTAAGATTTTATTTGGGGGACTGCCTATGTGAAAGAAAATAGGGAGCAAGATGGGGCAGGCTGGGAGAGTTGTCAGACTGCAATGCCAATTTGACTGCTAGTGAAGGACGGGGGAGAGAAGGTTGGCTAGAAGTGTCCTAGACTGCTGTGAGTGTAAAAAGGCCATCCGAGGAGGCTTGTGTCTCCCAGGAACAGGCCTGCCTTAGTATCCCTGCTGCACTCAGACACTGGCTGGGAGCAACTTGTGTGAAATGTGGTCTCAGAGCAAATGTGGAGAGGATTCCAGAGTATAGCAGCAGGGGCCCTTGATCAGTAATGCTCCCCATAGTTGGAGGGTCTGCAAGGTGCATGCCCGTGGCTACCACAATGGTTGACTGATTTCCGCGGCTTTTCCTGGTTGCAGATGTGAAAAAGATAGACATATATATTTCCTTAATTTATAGATCTCTTTCCTGGTGTGCAGAACATTCAGGAGTTCAAATGGACCACTAATGAATGGGGTCATTGTGGTCAGGATTCGCTTGACAAAGGAGCTTATTGTATCTGTCACGATGATTATGCTGCAATCACAAACAACACTAAAATCTCAGGGGCTGACGTAACAAATGTTTGTCTCTCGTTCACACTGCATTACATCTTGGGTTGTACGATGAACAATCTGTAGGTAGCTTTCCTTCATGTCACCCTCACTCAGGGATCTGGGTTGGTAGAACCTTCACCATGTGGAACTCACATCACTGGTCATAATGTCAGAGGGAAGAGAACATAGTGAAAGGCCCACTGGCTCTTGAAGCTTTTGTCTGGAAGTGACACATGTCATTTCTGTTCACATTTCGTTGTCTAAAGCAAAGCAAGTCACCAGGCCACATATGACCTCAGGGGGAAGTGGAGGTCTATCATTTTCTCAGAAGAAGAATCTAGAATATGGTTATCAGCCCTAATGACTGTCATACTATTTTGTCTGTCAGGGCCCCAGGAGGAACAGATGCCACTCAAACTGGGTAGTGAGGGGACCTTAATAGTAGACTAATTACAAGAGTGCTGTGTTTCAATGATCTGTTGCTGTGTGGTAAGCTATCCCCACATGTAGTGACTTAACCATTGATTATTAGTATAAATCACCACTCCCTGGTTCAGGAATTTTGGAAAGGACACAGCAGACACATCTGCTGTGTGATGTCTGGGGCCTCAGCTGGGGTCACCACAGTGGGCTGGGGCTGAGCGGCTTGGGGCTGGCTGGGTCTCTCCCTCTTTCTGGCCGTCCACACAGCCTGTCCCCAGGGTTGTCTTGGCCATCCCCACAGCATGGCAGCCTCAGGTCGTCGGACTTCTGCACTGGCTGAGCTCCAAGGGCTCCCAGAGTGAGTGTTCCAGGAGACAGGAAGTAGAAGCTGCCGGTTTCCTAAGGCTTGGGTCTGGAGCCTGGAACAGTGTCCCTTCTCTCGTATTCTATTGTTC